ATAACAATATTAATTAAATAATAATTTATTAATAATAATAGAGTGCAAACGTTTAGCAACTCAGACAACCTTTTAAATCTAAAACAGCAGCTGTTCTCCAACAATATCCTGTGCGCACCACTACAAAGAAATTGAAAACTTTCATCTGCCTTGACTATGAAGCTCTTTACCTGTTGACAACTAGATACAGGTGTCTAGAGAAGCCTCTTGTCTGGCCAGAGGGGCACCCCCTTGTCCTGGGCATAGCGGATCTAAGGATGGGAAACAGAAGCAGCCAGGGTCTTGAATGGCAAAAAAAACTCCCCCCTACCTGCCTTTGCCTGGTCGATGGTGACAAGTCCACAAGAACAGACATTCAGCTGCCAGCAGCTCTGCTGTCTCTGCCTTTATTTGAGCTCTGGCTGCCTCTGTTGACTTTAGCACAAAGCAAAGATTCTTACTACTTCAGAAAAAAAAAAGATGAATATTTTACCAAGATATTGATCAGCGTTATAAAAATCTCACTTAAACCTAATGAGTCAAGAAAAAAAAAACTGCAGCAAAGGAAGAAAAAAACAAAATTATATCTGTGTAAATTTGCTAGTGTGACGTGCTGCTTGAAAGTTTACCCTCCTGGAATTTGGATGTGGAATTTTTTGTTTACTGTCACTGTTTACTCACAGATCACGGATGCTTAAACCAGCAAGCCCTTGGAAAATACATGTAGTAGTTGAAGGAGCTCCCCTCCACCACCCTGGCTCAGCACAAAACAGCAGCCCAGGAGCCTGGGTGGCACTCAGCAGAGGAGCAAGGAGAAAGCCACAGGGGTGACTGAGTGCTACAAGCCTGACATGGCACTGACATCCTTTTCTGTGTCTTGGGGAGGGAAACAGAACTACATGTTATCTGCCAGGATCAGTGGAGTGCGAGCCGCTAAGTAGTTTAAAACGACCAGTTAAACAATGGACAAGTGATAGGAACATAGCAGGTTATAGCATCACATTCAAAGGGCATTGTTCACAAATCAGGCCCATTCCTAGCCCCATTCTTCTTCTCTACAGGAGGCTTTTATGTGCTAATGAAACACATTTCATGCTGACTTCTCAACGTGTGTGTCCCTGCAGCCTGGCCACTGCTCTCTGGCTCAGTCCCGCTGGAAACAATGTGGATTCCTAAGCAGGATTTAAATGTTCTTATTTCCTTGCCGCAATCTATCACAGCCCGGAGCTCGTGGGAAAAGCAGCAGCCGGGGCTGTCATTCATATTTCTCTTCTTCTTCTTCTACTTCTTCTTCTTCTTCATTTATAGATGGGAACTGACACTGCCTGTCACCCACGTGTGCGCACACCATCGTCTCATTAACATTGTTTTTAGTTTGCAGTCACAGTCTATCAGGATCAGCAAACTGGAACCAGCGTATCCAAACTATAGGGGTTAGGACAGAACTCAACGATCGGGCTACTGGGGAATGGGAAAGGGAATTCGTTTTGTGTGTGTGTGTGTGTGTGTGTGTGTGTGACAGAGAGAGAGAGAGAGGACAGGAGAGGACTATTAAAACATTATAAAGTACAATCTAACTGCATTACA